AGTGCTGTATTAGGTCAATCTATTGCATGAAACCTTTTTAGAGTATTGAATAGTAAGAGTGTTACTTTGAAGATTAAGGTACAAATTGCCCAAGCCATGGTATTTTCTATTGCATCATATGCATGTGAAAGTTGGACATCGAATAAGGGAAATTGAAGAAGAATTGATGGATTTGAATTTGATGCTGGAGAAGAATTTCTAAGACAGTAAATCCTTGGGTTGGTTTCATATTGCTAATCTTGCAGTTTGCAGTCTAACACATAACCTAGTACTACACTAAAGCTAAAGTTAATAATCTACCATTTTAATACTTTAATTCAAAATAAATTAGAAAGAAAAGTAATTTTTATTTTTCAGTTGGAATCATAATGTCTCAATGGAAACCAATATTATTAGCTTTGATGTATAGTACTTATATTCAGTATGAATTTTCTGACTTGATAGAATACCTATTATGAAAGCAAAATATGGTTTAATATGCCAACAAACCAAAGTCTTTGTGTTTCAATTATAACAGTTGTTGAAAAACGGATCTACATAACTAATGGGTAAGGCATTATTAACGAAGTATTTAAATAATATTTTGTGCTCAATTAAGCATTTTCAGAGAGTATACAATATTTTTGGTAAACTTCCTATCAGATCAAAGGTAAATAAATAAGAAGCATTAACCTTATGGTGGACTTGAATATCAGAAGAGGTGATATAAGGACCCCAACCTACTTTTCCAAAAAACCAAATCAAATGTACTGCCATAAAATCAATGCTGATGCTCAGTGACTCACTGTGGGTTTCAAGACTGTAACTGTTTATGGGAGTAGAAGGCCCAGTCTTGCTCCTGCAGAGTTGCTGGTGGGTTTGAACTGCTGACCATGAGAATTGCAACACAAGTGTAACCACTGCACCAGCAGACTCCTACATTTATGCAGAACTAAGTGAGCTCATCCCTGAAACACAATGACTTCTCAGGAGCTCCAACAGCTCCTTTAGCTCTATATAAAAAAATCTGTTTGAAGCTTCCAACTGCCTATCAATCTTTTTCATATTGCGTCTGAAAAACTGTGCCTACTTCTCTGTTCCTGTCTTCTAATTCTTGCTGAATTTTTCTTAATGGCATTTTCCAATCTGAAACTCAACAGAAAGAAGAAATCTATAAATGGATATCCACTCGTCTCAGTTATGCTCACCATAATAATAGAAACAGATTACTTGTTTGCTCCCTAACACAATATTGAGAAGTAATTTTCAATTTTGTTCATGTTTTCCAATATGTTCCCCGTAACAGTACAACACCATTCTTTTTTTTTGCAAATGCATTTTAAGGGTCATTCCAATATTTCAAAACTTTCCAATGTTGACACTTTGTTATTTTACTTTGTGACATTATAAAATTTTGTGGAACAAATCATGCGTATAATACATGCTTATTTTTGTTCAATTCTGCTTCTTCTCAATTAGAGGTGTGTCAAGTTTAAATGTGCTTGAATCGTGTGATCTGAAGAGACCATGATCATGGACCTCTTTCATAGAAAGATTTAAAGCTTATGAGAGGGGCTGGTTTGTCTAGGTTCCAATATAACAGGCCTGCTTTGTTTTATATAGTAACTAGTGGAGAAAACAAGAAATATTGGCCAGAGACCACAAGCATTATTCACTTGTGTTTCCATTGACCATCTATAACTATTTCAAAAGCTATGAAAAAGTTAGTTGAAACAGAAATACAAGCAACCCACCTGAAAAATTGCATAGCCCTTAAATCTTTCAGAGATATTCTCTGAAATAAAAGTCACATAAAGTGTTCACAATCAGATATTACTTCAGGTTTGAATTCTTTTGAGACTGATAAAAATGACCATTTCTTCACAAAATTATAACTGGCAAACCAGATCATCAGTTAGCTGCCAGAGAAGACAATCAACGTGACAGAATTACGCACGGGAGTTGCTAACAGCCAGGATATTGAACTTCCTAGCTGAAGCCTGTGCAGGTTTGTAGTGACTAAATGCTATTAATATCAGAATCCTGTGTGAGGGTTCTGCATTGCTTGAGTTATTGGTTTCTGAGCAGTTCCTGAGAGAAGAAACATAAAGGTACTACCACACGGATGACCTCTAGGACCTTCTAATGCTAAGCTCAAGCAACCAGGGATACTATTCTTTCCTCCTTGTGCTGATTTGATGTGAATTGGTTTCTAATAGCAATTGCCATTTGTCCAAAATATGGACATAATACGCACCAGTAAACCACGGATATAAAACAGAACTTTTTTCAACACATTCCCAGAACAAAAGATATTGTGAGATAAAAGGAACTCTAGTGTGCTTTGATAAAGCAAAATTCTATATTAAAAGCACTGTTATATTTAGAAAATTGAGTCTTATCATTATTCCATCAATAGATGCTTTCCCTTTTATTGGTGTTCTTTTTCCTTTTTATTTATTTTCCTTTTGTTAACTTCCAAATATAAAAGCAAAAGAAACAGCGCATTAAATAGTATGCA